ACCTTTGTTAAGGGAACCCAGGAAAAGGTTGCTGACGCCGGAGCAATCTACGCGCCGCCGACCTTGTCAGCCATTGATGGAAAAGAGCAAGTTGAACTTCAGGATTTGATTTCTAGCTGGAATGGATACATGGGCATGAATACTTCTTTCACACGCAGCTCAAAAATTCAGTGCCTCCACCTTGACAGACTTACTACTGACTCAGGTGCGCCATTGCAGATCCCCTGGAAACTCAAGATCCCAGAGCCATCAAGGCCCCGCAAGAGAGCGAGCAGATTTACATGGAATACCGCATTGTGGGAGGCATTATCCATAGAGGGAGGGACAACGAGGGACGCATTCAGGCTGTCTGCCGGAATATGGATGGCTTGTCTTCGATGACGTGAAGAAAGCCACGCAGCATGGAAGCCGAGTTTCAGCGCTGGTGGGAGCGCTTTGCATTTTTTTGGGGAGGACATGAGGCTGGGGCAGGTCTATGAGGAGACCGTCGTGGCTGTGGTTCGAGAGGCAGGACTTGCGGCTAGATTTGCGCCCCAGCGCAGCCCCTTCACATGGCTTGCGGCGCAGGTGGAGGAGATGTGCGATTGCAGTTCCGGCAGATGGATGAAACGCAGACCGGAGCTTTCGAGTCAATTGCAACAGCTGCTACACCGTATCCCGCGCCGACGTGTTCTTTGCCTTGGAGGTGATTTCAACACGGCCTTGCAGAGTGGTCGTGACGCAAGGGCCTCAGATGTGATTCACCCCCGCACTCTGATCAAAGACAGGGCCCATGACTCTGCCCCTAGATGTGGGCCCCAGAGGATCGTCCACCATCGACTACCTGTTCACGAGGAAGGCTCAATGTGACGGGATCGCCAGACAGGCGAAATGCCACATCAACTTCACCCTGTTCCAGGCACGTAAATTTCCGGGTCATCGACCTCTGTTGGCAGTGTGCCTGTGGATTGGAAGGTGCGCAGTCACAATCTACATCTCCAATTCCAAACATACCAAAGCCTTGGTGAAGGCTGCTGAAGGCTACCATCCCAATTGGGTGACCTTTGTGCAGGAGGCGTCACGGATGATACAGTCAACAAGGCCCAACTGACAAGATTGCAAGATCCTTCATTTATGCCAGAAAGCTGTACATCGTGTTGTACCTTCCATGCCACTCTGGCTCCAACCAGAATGTCAATCTCTTGTGGCAAGGAAATGGAAACACCTTTTTTGGGCACGACGATGCAATGCAGACCTTCGAGGCCTTTTCAGTCTTTGGGCACACTGGACCAAGTTCCATCGTTTTCGCGAGCTTCTTCAGCAACATTGTCAAACCAAACGAAGAAACAGATTTCGGAGGATCACAACGAATGGGGCCAGAGCTGCTGACAATCACGACTCCAAGGCCTTGTATGAAGCAGTTCGTGAACTGACACCCAAACAGCTCAGAAGATCCATTCGTTTTAGGGGACCGAATGGACAAGTGTTGAGTCCAGAGCAAGAGCTGAACGTGCTGTGTCAACACTTTCAGGAGATTTTGGACTGCACTTGTCCGGTACAGTGTGCGCCTGGATTCCTACAGTCAAATCAAAACTGAAGAAACATACAACAGTCCAGGATGGATGCAAGTGGCTGATTGTTCCTCGTGTCCAAGGTCACACGCTGGTCAATATTGTTCCACATCATACTTATCTTCGAGCCAAACTGTCCTTCGCCCACTTTGAGCAGCAAACACTCCAACATCTGTTGCGCATTGGTCGTATCACCTTTCATCGTATGAGACCTTGGTTCAATGGGAGGCATGTTCTGGCCAGCAAAGATCGAGCAAACCTTTGGTCCACGTGTGTCCTCTCTAGCTACACTCATGGCCCTGGAAGCAGTGGCCTTCGACAGGAGGGACTGTTGTCGTTGTCGTTGTCGTTGTCGTTGTCGTTGTTGTCGTTGTTGTCGTTGTTGTTGTTGTTGTTGTTGTTGTTGTTGTTGTGCAGCCGAATACATGCAGATATTCTCAAGAGCTGGGCGTTCTCCGCAACACATTACACATGAACACACTGAAGATGTCCTGGCGACTCCACCTCACTGCGCCTCGCACCTTGTCCAAAGCCTTTGCCAAGTCCAAGCTGCCACAACAGGCCTATCAGACGGTGACTTTTTGCGCAGGATTCCTAGTGAGCTCTTTCTGAGTGTCTTTCAGGAACCTGCCTTGCCAGCTCCTGCACAGGTTGATGCTGTGGTGCCCCTGGAACATACTTGTCCATATTGCGCGCAGATGTTTGACAATCTTGGTCTTCTACACAGACACCTTGCCAAACGTCATAAGGCAATTACTCTGTTTCGCGGCTTCCTGATTTCCAGAGACTCCATTGATGGCAAACCCCAATGCAGACACTGTCAACGCAAGTTTGCTCACTGGGTAGGGCTTGTCCATCATGTTGAACATGACAGCTCGTCAGGTACCTCCCTGTGACCAGGACGACGTTGGACAGTACGTCCGCGCACTTTGAACGCCCAGGCCTGATGACTTGGTGTCGAAGTCACTGCATCATCTTGGCCTGTGGAATGACTCAAGCTGCCGCGCACAGTTGCCATGCCATTCGACAGCTGGCCATTGTGCCCCTCATGTGTGAGCAAAACCTTTGGTCTCAAGAGCTCCGTCACTAGCTTGGAACCTCCCAAGCCTGATCCAACACACCCTCTTCCTTCCACCTTGAAGAGGCGCAAGCTTGGAGCGCAGGAAACCAAGTCCAACGACTTCCAACCTGCCAGAGACTCAGTATAGATGGGACTCCGACATGCAGTCACTGCGTGAAGACATTGGCCTCCTTCTTCCCCCTCCGGAATCGCATCGAGATGTACCATGTTTACGGCCCAGGCAAATGTCGACAGAGCATGACATTGAGTGCGTTCTCCGTGACACAGCCTACGCCCTCAAATCCAGCTGTGTCCTTTGTGGCAGGCAATCGAGAAAGCCTGGAGGGATAGCCCTGCACAAGATCACGCAGCGCTGTGTGAACAGGCGCAGTCCCTGGAAACCAGGTATCGCAACACTGCTGCTTGTGGCAAACCATGTTTGTGTGGCAATCACTCAACGAAGAATGGACGCAGATGTGTGATCTTCACACAATTGGCGCTTCTGCATCTTGTGGCCACAAAGAATGAATCAGAGGAAGACTTGAGCACCGTGCAGGCGGCTGTGCCATCCCTGGATCCGGCCTTCTATTGGAATGACAAATCTTAATGCAGCCTCAGCCTCTGTCACAGCACTTGTAAGCCAGTGGATATAGTTGCTCATTTGCATGAACACCATCGTAACACAACGCTCAGAGCACCGAATGCAGACCATGCTGATCATCGCCTTTTTCGTGATTGGATTCAGGCGCACGCGTTGATTTCCCAACGAAATCGAGATTCCACCCCAAGCTACTCAAACAGCAACATTGACTTTCTGTTCACGCGTAAGGCGCAAACGGGTTCATTGTCGTTTGGAGTAAGATGTTTAGCTTGCGCGCAGGGATTACCCTGACCATCGACCGCTCATTGGAAGCTTTCCCATGGACTGGAAGGTTTTGGGCCCATCGCGCAAGACAAGCGCCGCAACAGGTTCCAAACATGTCTCCAAGCATTTGCTGCAGGCCAAACAGGCCAACTGACTTGCCTTTCATGGTTACCAAAATGGGATTCCTATGTCAACGAAGGTTCCAGGCGCCCCCCGCGCGCAGAGTACCGCTTTGGATTGAAGATGATGCAAGGCTCAACGGTGGGTTTGTTGCAACAGATTTGACATAGATGGCGCCATGTCGGCCAACGCACCGAGCTCATGTCTACGAAGGAAAGAGGTGAGGATTCAAGCTGTCACGAATCAGGACATTCACTCCAAAACAGCCACGCAGGGCAATTAGCTTCAGGGATTGTGAAGGGAACACTTCTCAGTTCCATCGCGAACTGCAGCTTTTGGTGGACCACTTCTCTGACATTTTTCATTGTGAGCAGGCCAAGTTTGCTGTTGATCCACCATGGATCCTCACTGCGGATGAGTTGGAAAAAGCCAATTACAACAAACCAAAGAATGCAAAGCGGTGGCGGCGTGACTGGCCAAGTCCTCCAAACCACGTGAGGACAAGCCACACTAGCGCCGCCGGGCGATCTTCGACCCGTGCCATGAACGGACGCCGTCGGCGAAGCAGTGTTGGGAGGGTACATCCACCGGGCAAAGGCCTTGGGTTTCCATTTGGTTGCCAATCTTCCCAACAGAGGCCGTGCCCTTCAACAGGCGCCCACTCGTTGGAGACCACACACAACACCAGTCTCCAACTCGGGAGGCTTTTTCTTCTCCTTGGATTTGAAACAAGCGCGCAACAGACTGTACACAAGCATTGGCTTGCGGATGCCAGGTATGAGCTTTCCCGTGAAGAAATTCGCGGAGAAGTTCAGCTCTTTGAATATCTATCTACCTCTCTATCTATCTATAGCTAGCTAGCTGGACTATGGACTATCTATCTGTCTGTCTGTCTGTCTGTCTGTCTGTTTATCTATCTGTCTATCTATCTAACCTAACCTAGCCTAGCCTAATCTAATCTAATCTAATCTAACCTACTAACCTAATCCATCTAATCGATCTAATCTATCTAATCTATGTAATCTATCTAGCTACCTATCTATCTATCTATCTAATCTAATCTAATCTAATCTAATCTAATCTACCTACCTAATCCATCTATCAAATCTATTTATCACATCTATCTATCAAATCTGTCTATCATATCTATCATACCGTACCTATCAATCAATCAATCTATCTATCTAGCTAGCTAGTTATCTCTATCTATCTACCTACCTATCTTTCTATCTATCTATCTATCTACCGACCTATCTAACTATCTATCTATCTAGCTATCTGTCTATCTCTCTATCTACCTCTCTATCTTTCTAACTATATGTCTATCTATCTATCTTTCTGACTATCTATCTATCTATCTATCTATCTACTTGTAAGACAATGCACCTGAGTGTTCAGAGTTCAGGTCATGTTCCGCAAGCAGGAGGTCAGGAAGCCTCTGCCAGATCGACACAGGCGTCGGCTGAACAAAGGGCGGGCGCAGGAAACCAGCTCTCCAGCTTGGCTCGAATCCATTGGCTGCACGGGGGTGATCTCGAGGAAACCTTTGTTCTGAGCGATCCATTGACCATAACCTCGGGCAATTGTTTAGGGGTTTACTTCTTGTTTGTTTTCAATGTTTCCTTTATTGCATTTACGGTACTTCCTTTGTCTCCTGTCTGTGCAAGTCCCGCCAGAAGTTCAGAGTGTGCTTGGTTTCATTGGCCAAGATGCAGAAAATCAACAATTCCATTACAAAAGTCGTATAACTCTACTTTTTCGCTGCTCTAAGGAGCTCTCGCACGATGCAGAATTACGATTATCATGCGAACAATCTTGCTTTCCAATATACCAGGTTGTGTGATGGCAATCTTCAGGCTGAAGGTGTGCTTTGGTTCCAACATTCAACACTTCATTTGGCTAATGCAAAACACACCGATAATGATGAATGGCTTGAACACGACCAGCGTTGGTAGGTCTTGAAATCTTCGCTAAATCCTGCTTTAACCAAACATGTCAATCAGACAAACCAGCAGATTGTCTATTGAACTGGATGGATCCATTCCAAACATCCTTCGTTGCTCAGGCAGTATACATTCTCTTTGCCCTTCTTCAACCACCGCCTCCGCCGCTTTGCCAGAGTTGCACCGGTAGTGTTTTTGAACGAAGGCGCTCTTTTCACCTACTGTTAATATATGGTATCATCCACTTCACCACAAACCCAGGCAATTGGGTCTGCGGCTACAAGCTGTCGGCCCAGGATTCACAATTGCATTGACGGTGCAGGTGTTTAGATTTCCTCACATGGTATTTGCAGGATTTGGACGAGCTGCCATGCTCCACAATGAATGCTGTGCACCTTGTGATGTACTTTCCTGCCACTGAGGGCCTGCTTGATTGACAATGAGCCCGACTGGGCTGACAAGCATCCTTTGGGATACAGGCCCAACCGCAAGCAGAACCACAGGCCGAGAGCTGAGTTCAGATGGCAGAGCTTTTCAATCCTACTAGCCTCCAACCTACTAGCAATGGCCTCCGACCTACTAGCGATGGCCTCCAACCTACTAGGGATGGCCTCAAACCTAATAGCAAAGTTCAATTGCCGGAACATAAAGGTGTTTTCAAGGACGTGGATGGCAATCATCACTATTCTGCGGTTGCTTTAGAAGCTACCCAGTAAAGAGGAATCTGCATCCACTATGTCTTCCGGGTTCCACGTACTTTTTGCACAACCCCTTACACACACACACACACACACACACACACGCACGATTATGTTTAATTTGATATATCTATTTTCTTTAGCAAGGTGCCGCCGCTTTGGACCTATACATCCAACTCCAGCCTTGACTGTCAGAATCACTGTCAAAGACTAGAAGAGGTTGCGGCGCTTCAACAACCTCAAGATTCTCCGTTGATGACAAGTGATTCGATATAATTGTGACAAACCACAAGTCAAAAGAAAGGCAGCTACCTAAACGAGATCCATTGTACTTCTTCGCTGCCCTTGCGGTCCGTCAGTTGACCCAAGGCGCCCATACATGTGGATCTTCAGCATTCCCCGCTACACCGTCCAGGTCCTGTGGGGGGTTGAGGCGGTTGAGGCACATTACAACAACCTTTTCACTGGATAGATTCAGATGTTATGCAGCAAGACATCAAAAGCGTATCCGGCATGACACAGTGTTGAAAGCATGTACTCGTTTGTTGTCACCATAGAGTATCCAACTTTCGGGTGAGTTGATTGGGGTTTTGTTGATTTCAATAATTATATGTATATAACAATATGTATATATATATATATATGATAGGATCCAGCAGGTGACGGCCTTTTTGGTTCAATGGAATACCAGGTGAAGCCAGAGTAGTCCCTGAGTTGATAGCAGACCCTTGGTCCTGTGCTTGGGTTCTAGAAAAGGCAAACGCAAAGATGGCACAGACAGGCAGAAATATAGATATTCTGCAGGCCGTGGTACGGCTCATGCTGTGTGATTGCTAGAGGAAAGCGTTTGTAACAAGAGCAACAGCATATTTTGGTCAGTATTATCCCCAAGGTCAGGATTTCCTGCCAAAAGCCCAGCCGCTGGCAAACTCTAGATTGTTTTCTTTAGTTGTGTCTCGTTTGAACCTTGACTCAGCATCTCGCACACCAAGTTCCAGGATCCTCTCTACACATCTGTGACCCACGACAACATGAACTCCATCTATGAGGTTGGGTGAGAAGCAAATTGGAAGGAGATTTGACAAAAGAATACTCAACTACCCTAACTAACTACCCAATATCAAAGACACGTAGTGGACATGGACTACATTATTTAGGGGATATGCACCATAGACCCACTCGTTCCTAAAGGTCAGGTGTGGGGTTTCTTCCAGAACCGATAGAAGATTATCCACACAAAGAGCTTCAAAGGGTAATCTATTCATTTGAGAATGCGTGTATCTTTGCCACTTTCATCAACATCACCACCCACCCTGCACTTGCTTGGTGCTGTGACAAACCAATTTCCGATTACATGCAGGTAGTATATCCCAGTGTTTGAGTCCCATCCATCAGTCACCAGACTTCTATTCTTGTTCTTGTGTTCTGCATTTCTACAAGCAACATTTTGTCAGTGGCTTGAAGTGGCGACAGAAAGCAGTTTTTACAGACTCAATTGAACTCCTCTCAAATCAGCTTCAATTGTCATCCGCCACTGGGGCCAAACGGGGCTGGCTACTCTGCAATTGCATGCTGCCCTTGAACATGGATTGTGTTGGAATGATTGAAGCAGACCAATCACTGGCTTGTGTCGCTCAAGCAATCCTCTGGATGGCCTGTAACCTAATAGCGATGGCTCCAAACCGAATAGCGATGGTCCAACCAACAAGCGATGGCCTCCAACCTACTAGCGATGGCCTCCAACCTACTAATTAGCGATGGCCTCCAATCTACCGTAATAGTGATGGCCTCCAATCTCACAGCGATGGCCTCCAACCTATTAGCTTCTTTCCTTTTTGTTATGAACAACAATCTTCAAGAGTCAATCCTTTAGCAGGTTTGATTTCTGGACCTCTGCCAGGACTGTGGCTATATGAAGGCGCCCAATTATGAGGACTAAGAGGCCAGGAAAAGATCTTCCAAAAATTGAGGACCATGCAGGTTTGAGTTCAATCCTGTGTGAGTACTGCTACTCTAGACTCTAGATCTGTAGTTCTCAGGTGGGAGGTGGCAAAAGCTTTGCTGATAGAACATCCATACTTCCTTGAGCTCGAACATGAAATGCAGCCCTACATGCCACGAAGAGGTTTGATGTAGAAATGAGGGGTTGCAAGTTGCATGGAGCTCCCAGTCACACCTCGATGAGGCTTTCTCCAAAGCATCTCCAAACATCTCCCGTGTTTCTGCCAGACAGCTGCGGAGGCTGAGAGCCGACCGAGAAGGTGACGGGGGGTCCTCCGAGTTGGAACGTGTGAACGACAAGCAGAAGTTCCTTGAAATTCTGCATTTGTGATGGTTTGCAGTGGGCCTCCGGAGGACCCCATGATGTCTTTGTCTTGTTTTTGACTCATTGCGCTTCCATACAAACCAACGGGCCAAAAAGGTGCGAGTTCTTTGCAACAGTCCAATAGCATAAGATTTGCAGATTGTTAGCCCTTCTAAAGGGTCATTCTCAAAAGAGTTGTTCGGGGAGTAGCTACATGCCTTTTTGGAAAGTTCTTCTTGTATCGCTGCCCTTCGAAACCTGTGACTACCGAATGCCAAAAGACACTCGCTTACCGAGCTGTAGTTCTGGGAACTACAATGTTGAACCAATTTCTGGACTGACGCTGAAAAACCTTGTGCTGGAGGCCCTCGCTAGTAGGTTGGAGGCCATCGCTTTTAGGTTGGAGTCCATTGCTATTAGGTTGGGGCATTGCTATTCGCAATGCTATTAGGTTGAAGGCCATCGATAGTAGGTTTTCAGGCCATTTAGTAGCTTGTCCCGTGGACTGGATGTGTCCAAGGCCCGTGAACGAAGGGACGAGGTTGGAGCGGGGCAGACAGAACATGGTCGGACGAGGGCAAGTGTATCAAGTAGTATGGTTATGCTTTAAGGGAAAACCTGACCATTCAATGGCAAACGGAAACCAGGAGTGCCGAAGTTGTTTGGAGGTTTTTTTTTTTGTACTTTCGAATGCCGGTTGCTCCTTGAGGGATTGACAATGCATGAGGCCCGCCGTGCATGATTTGCGAGGGAGTCATACTTGCAAGGCGGCATGTTAGCTTGCCAACTTTTCACGGGCTGAGCATCAGACAGGCCGGACAGGCGGTACCCAAGGCGCCTGAGGCGCCACCAGACAGGACTGCTCCACGTGGATGGATCTGGGAGGCAAGAATCCCCAGAATGCAGAATGCTAGCTACTGGAAACAAGAAGCTACTGGTAACAAGGGCATTACTACGAGTAACAAGAAGCTACCAATTAGCAGCAAAGGGCATCGCTACTAGGAGCAAGGACGCTGCTAGGGGCTCCTGGCCTTACTACTAAGAAGCTCCTAGTAGCAAAGGGACTAGGAACAAGAAGCTACTAGTAGCAAGGTGCATCGCTACTAGGAGCAAGGACGCTACTAGGGGCTCCTGGCCCTACTACCAGGAACAAGAAGCTACTAGTAGCAAGGGGCTCCTGGCCCTACTACTAGGAACAAGAAGCTACTAGTAGCAAGGTGCATCGCTACTAGGAGCAAGGACGCTACTAGGGGCTCCTGGCCCTACTACTAGGAACAAGAAGCTACCAGTAGCAAGGTGCATCGCTACTAGAAGCAAGGACGCTACTAGGGGCTCCTGGCCCTACTACTAGGAACAAGAAGCTACTGGTAGCAAGGTGAATCGCTACTAGGAGCAAGGACGCTACTAGGGGCTCCTGGCCCTACTACTAGGAACAAGAAGCTACTAATAGCAAGGTGCATCGCTACTAGGAGCAAGGACGCTACTGGGGGCTCCTGACCCTACTAATAGGAACAAGAAGCTACTAGTAGCAAGGTGCAGGACGCTACTAGGGGCTCCTGGCCCTACTACTAGGAACAAGAAGCTACTAGTAGCAAGGTGCATCGCTACTAGGAGCAAGGACGCTACTAGGGGCTCCTGGCCCTACTACTAGGAACAAGAAGCTACTAGTAGCAAGGTGCATCGCTACTAGGAGCAAGGACGCTACTAGGGGCTCCTGGCCCTACTACTAGGAACAAGAAGCTAGTAGCAAGGTGCATCGCTACTAGGAGCAAGGACGCTACTAAACAAGAAGCTACTAGTAGCAAGGTGCATCGCTCGCACACTGGGAGCTTGATCTATCTCTACAAATTCATGGGCCCCGTGGCTCTGTGAAGCAAAGAACCCTTACTCCACCATGGTAAAGTGCTTGAGAGTAAGTGTGCAAGCATAGCCTGTTTGTATAGTGGAGTTCAGAATGCTGTCTTGGTCGATTCAATTCAAACCGTGTTTTCTTTTTTTCGGCCCACAGGAGCTCGAAACCTCGACGCCCACAGAAAGAAGCGCCGCCGGAGACGGAGGCCAGGTGACAATCCATGGAGCTTGTGGACGACATTCTGGTCAATGTTCCCTAGTAGCGTCCTTGCTCCTAGTAGTTTCAAAAGCATTTACGGTAAATATAACTCCATGTAACATAATTGTACAATGTGATACTGTATACGTACAAGAGCTTGGCCTTCGCACTTTTGACAGGAAGCGTCAGCAGGCTTCCATGTTGCTATTCCAGACTGGTAGGCTACCTAGCGGAAAAGAAGTGACGCTTGCGCCAGGTGCCCTCCCCACCGGCACCAGCAGCTAATGGGCACAAGGTGTGATTGGAAGGGTGTGATGCAAGGATGGCGTGGAATATATGCAATGTTTTCCGTGCAAATCCCCAGAACGAATGCACGAAGTAGTTTTTCCGTTTCTGTTTATCAGGCTAACCCTTGTTCACCATGCATGGGATGTTTGTTCAGCAGAAAGACAGAAGTGGGATGGCCTTGACATGTTCGGCCTTGCCAAGTGGAGATCGAAACTTTCACAAGTGTAGTTCAACAGCAGCATGTCCGCGCTCATTTGATTCATATTTACTCAAATAGTTGGGTCACCTTTGCAGATCCATTTATCGAGGTTCAATGCAACCTGGTGGAATCGTGCGTTATATTGTTTTTCCCCAAACAGGTTTGCCTGTGAGGGGTTCTTACTCCTTTGAAAGGGGTGCGTGCCTGGGCTGCATGACTTTACATTTGTCTCCGGGCTTGCGTTCCTGCCGCACTGTGGTTGCTGTGGCCGCATGATTTTGCACTTGTCTCCCATTTGTCTCCATTCGCTTGTGGGTGCTTTGGGTGCTTTGGCCGCATGATTTTACACTTGTCTCCCATTTGTCTCCCACTTGTGCCACTGTCTCCAGTCTCCTCTGGGCGCTTTGGCCGCGTGATCTTTTTACACTCGTCTCGGACTTGACTCCCACTGTCTCCAGTTCGCTGTGTGTGCTTTGGCCGCATGATTTTACACTTGTCTCCCACTTGCCTCCCACTGTCTCCAATCTGTTTTGGGTGCTCTGGCCGCATGATTTACATTTTTCTCCCGCTTGTCTCCCAGGGTCTCCAGTCCCTGGCCGCATGATTTTACATTTGCCCAGTCCCTTTTGTTGGTGCGCTGGCCGCATGATTTACATGTGTCTCTCACTTGTCTCCCGCTGTCTCCAGTTGCTTGTGGGTGCTCTGGCCACCTACAGGAGACTGGAGAAAATGGGAGACAAGTGCAAAATCATGCGGCCAAAGCACCCACAGCGAACTGGAAACAGTTGGAGCAAAGCACCCACAAGCAAGCGGAGACAGTGGGGGACAAGTGTTACACTTGTCTCCCCTTGTTTCCCATTGTCTTCACTCTTGTGTGGGTGCTCTGGCCGCATGATTTTACACTTGTCCCGGTCCCCCACTGTCTCCACTTGCTTGTGGGTGCTTTGCTCCAACTGTTTCCAGTTCGCTGTGGGTGCTTTGGCCGCATGCTTGTGCACTTGTCCCCCATTGTCTCCAGTCTCCTGTAGGTGCTTTGGCCGCATGTCTCCAGTCCTTTGTGGGTGCGGTGGCCGAATTATTTTACACTTGTCTGGACTTGGACCTGGGCCAAACAAACTGTTTGGGGTCAAAGCTGGTATATTTGTTGTTTGTGTTTTCTTTCGTGGCTTGGCCTTTGGCTTTTGGTTTCTGTGTTTTTTGTGGGTTTTGGCTTTTGGATGGTTTCTGACTGGCTTTTGGGGGGCTTTTGGCTTTTGTAGCGTCTGTGGCTCTGCCGACTTTGGACTTTTGGTGGCTTTCGACTTCGATATAAGAGTAATCAAGACTGTCTGAAAGATACGTCCTCCAGAGCGATAAATCCTTGAAAGCTTTTGTGGCTTTTGGCTTCCGTGGCCATGTCCAATGAACCATTCGCGATCTAGCTCACATGGCCTTGCGCAAAGGTGTACTTTTGAATAAGATCACAAAGTGCCGTGCCTTCCACAAAATCAGTCTTTCCAGTTTACAAAACCCTTCGCCTGCCATGATTATTCTTTAGAAATTCGCAAAGTGCTGCGCTTGCCACAGGAGAAAGACAATTAACAAACAACTCAATGCTTATATATATATATACACACACATATATATATATAAATACATTTTGGCATGTTTCACCAGGTGTTACAGAAATACGAAAGCCAGCCGATAGGCTAGGCTTGAGCTTTTAGAGCGAACGAAGTGAGCTAAGCGGTGTGGTCAGAAAAGCAGTGAAAAAGGGGTCTGGTGATGCGAGCGATGCAATGGACGCCGAGTAGTGCATCATTAGCATCATGAAGGGCTGTGGAGGCTATTTGGACAATGGGCATTGAGCACTGGAGTGGAGACAGGCACCCATGTACAGAGCAACCCCCGTAGTCTCTACGATGCTTCTCGCGGCGTCCACGTGCACCGAACGTTTTTCCGGCTTGGCGGCGCAGATAGATAGATATTAGATAGATTGATAGATAGATAGATAGACAGACAGATAGATAGATATATTCTATATACTACTGACTCATGACGTCGCCTTTTTTGCTGGCAGCCCTGGCCGAATCTAGTCAGCCTGGGTCCACGGCCCAAAGATCTACGCACGCAGGTGCCAAAGTCAAGGCCTCTGAGTGAGAAAGGCGCAGAGTTCATAATAAGAAAGAGAAGAATAAAGAATGTGTTTGGATCGTTTAATACAGGCCCCTTTAAAGGAAACAGATTGTGTTTTAGATCGAGCCAGAATATGACTCACTCAAAACCAGGCGTGTGCATCGATAGGCGCACAAATCCTCACTCCTTTGCTAGCCCAAGCTACTCCCGCTGGACTTCCCCTTCTGCGCCGCGGGATCAAACGTCCGTGTCCCGGCTAAGACGTGCCCGTTCACTCGAACGCCGCTTTTCGACGCGCCGCGGTATGCCTTGCAAACTTCAAACACTCCAAATGTA